CTCTACTGCAATAGCTGTCTTGACAATTGAATTTGGCTTTGGGATTCACAAACAACGGGCCCCTATAAAAGCCTGGCAACTCCATCCCTAAAGCAATGCTTCTTGCGACTTGAAAGGACGCCCGTAGCAAAAATCAACGACATCACCAAGAAGCTCGCGTTGTCCGAGTGTTGCATCATGTTGCATCCAAACGCAAACGCATTAATTATCGCAGCGGACAGTTGGGCCCGTGTAAAGGCTTTACCCGCAAGAAAAAGACAAGTCCATCATCCTGAAGAAGCACCGTCCTCTGATTTTACTCGTCAAAACCCACAAATACGCTCGAAGTTTTGCCGGGGCCGCGCCTGCAAACGGGCTTGGGATCCCGCTCGGGCCGAGCACAGATGCCGCACAAAGGCGCTGGTAAGGACCAAAGCAGACACGCTCGGGATCCCGCTCGGGCCAAACCCGTGCCAAGGCGCAGTAAGGACCAACACCGTCACGCTGAGGAGTCCACTCGGGCCAGCTATGGATGCAACAACGCGCAGGCGCCTGCAAGGACCAAAGCGGCCAGGCTTGCCTGCCCGCCCGGGATCCCGCTCGGCGCGAGCACGGGTGCCACGCAAGGAAAAAGCAAAGGCAAGCGAAGCCACGCTCGGGATCCCGCTCGGGATCCCGCTCGGGGCTGACACGCAAAGGCGTCACTCTTGCGGAAGCCATGTACAGTTAGCACACGCCAGACCCTCTTGCGCCTCGTTTGGCCGTGTCAGCCAGGGATCTTTGCATCACGCCTGCCAACCCGCTTCTCTACTGCGATAGCTGTCTTGACAATTGAATTTGGCTTTGGGATTCACAAACAACGGGCGCCTATAAAAGCCTGGCAACTCCACCCCTGAAGCAATGCTTCTTGCGACTTGAAAGGACGCCCGTAGCACACATCAACGACATCATCAAGAAGCTCGCGTTGTCCGAGTGTTGCATCCTGTTGCATCCAAACGCAAACGCATTATCGCAGCGAACAGTTGGGCCCGTGTAAAAGCTTTACCCGCAAGAAAGAGACGAAGCACCGTGCTCTGATTCTACTCTTCAAAGCCCACAAATACGCTCGAAGTTTTGCCGGGGCCGCGCCCGCAAACAGGCTTGGGATCCCGCTCGGGCCGAGCACAGATGCCGCGCAAAGGCGCTGCAAGGACCAAAGCAACCACGCTCGGGATCCCGCTCGGGCCAAACCCGTGCCAAGGCGCAGATAAGGACCAACACCGTCACGCTCGAGAGTTTAATGCAACGCGCAGGCGCCTGCAAGGACCAAAGCGGCCAGGCTCGCTAGCCCGCTCGGGATCCCGCTCGGGCCTTGCAAAGGCAAGTGAAGCCACGCTCGGGATCCCGCTCGGGATCCCGCTCGGGGCGAACGCGGATGCCACGCAAAGGCGTCACTCTTGCGGAAGCCATACAGTTAGCACACGCCAGACCCGCTTGCGCCTCCTTTGGCCGTGTCAGCCAGGAGTGTTCGCATCACGCTTGCCAACGCGCTTCTCCTACAGTTTTTTTGCCAAGCAGACTGGCTCGGGATCCCGCTCGGGCCAAGCGCATCAGTCCTGAAAGATCCGCTACCTCGCCACCACCTTGCGACAGCGAGAAGAATCGCGACGCTCGGGAGTCCACTCGGGATGCAACGCGCAGGCGGCTGAAAGGACCAAAACGGCCAGGCTCGCTAGCCAGCTCGGGATCCCGCTCGGGCCGGCTACGGATGCCATGCGAAGGGGCCTTGGCGGGCAAACTGAAAACTTTCAGGATCCCGCTCGGGAGAAACGCGGATGCCACGCCTGTGCGAACGCAAGCGCAAACGCACTTGGGCTTCCGCTCAGGCTAAGCAAGCTTCAAGAATCCGCTCAGGCTGAACTTGTAAGGCCCAACATACGGCCAAACCTCTGACTTACAGTTAGCACACGCCAGACCCTAGCGCCTTCTCAGCTGGTGTCAGCCAGGACTCTTCGGATCATCAAGGGCGCGCTTCTCCCTTAGGTGCATCCATCGGCGCAACTGCGGCACCCCCCCCCCAGGATGTTTCGAAGTAATGATGATTCTGGCATGGCAACCTGCAACAGCACCCTGCGCAACTCTGCAGCACCCTGCGCAGCTCTGAGTCTCGTCCTGCCTTCCTTCCTTCCTTCCTTCCTTCCTTCCTTCCTTCCTTCCTTCCTTCCTTCCTTTCCTTTGCTTCCTTTGCTTCCTTTGCTTCCTTTGTTTCTTTGCTTCCTTTGCTTCCTTTGCTTCCTTTGCTTCCTTTGCGTCTTTGGCGTCTTTTGCTTCCTTTGCTTCCTTTGCTTCCTTTGCTTCCTTTGCTTCCTTTGCTTCCCTTGCTTCCCTTGCTTCCCTTGCTTCCCTGCTTCCTTGTGTCCTTGCTTCCTTGCTTCTTTGCTTCCTTGCTTCCTTGCTTCCTTGCTTCCTTCCTTCCTTCCTTCCTTCCTTCCTTCCTTTCCTTTGCTTCCTTCGCTTCCTTCGCTTCCGTGCTTCCGTGCTTCCTTCCGTCCTTCCTTCCAATGCCCATGTAAAGCTATTTTGATGCCAAGCCTTATTTCAAAGACCTTGAACAATCCGACTGCCAGACTAGTTGGAGTGCTAACTGTTGGGCCTCAACCACGGCTTGGGAAAAAACGCTGCGCAAGCGCCCAAACAGTTAGCACTCAACGATGGAATGCCGTGTGCTAACTGATTGATACCCACTATAGGCAACCAGTTGTTGTCCTGTTGGTTTGCAGGGCGGCTCCCTCAGAATCACAGAAACACTCACAGAATATCGAAATCTCCTTCCACAAGCTGGACATTCACGTTCACTACACTTGCAGCGCCCAGGCAATCAACAGAATGCACAGAAAGTGAGGCTCCCTTTAATGTCTAGGGTATCATTAGCAACGCTCTTTCATGAGCATTGCCGGTATGTTTAAGCTCTGCTGCGAATCCTAAGGTCCTCATCTCATGATCCCTCATGCCTCGGATCCAACATCTCATGCTGTCAAATGAATTCTCGAGCATCTTGGTGCAGGAAATCTGATTTTGCCAATGTTCTGCATCAGTGATGAATGGTCATGTCTACTTAGAGACACCCTTATGCAAAAAAAGGTACATGTGTATGCACTGCAATACGCAAAAACAGCTAGGAGGCGCTCACAGGCCTTGAGCTGATTCTGACATGTCAAGCAACCTAGACTCTTGGCAAGGACACGCAGTGCACATCTTCCCGCACTCAATAGTAAAGGGTCTAGAAGAGTCTTGCAATTATGCAGCCCCTTTGGGTTTTCTTGTGGGACCACACTTATGGGCCATTTAGCAAACCAATGTGATTGCTGCTTGCTTTGAACCAGATCCCCAGGTGCTTGGAGTCTTATCATCAAAACTCTGGAGCAAGCACATGAATCACCCACTGAAAGTTACAGGATACTCAATGGTTAGCCACCGTGGTTCTAAGTCATTAAGCAGAACCATGGTAAGCTATATATACATACACATATATACACGCATACGTAGACTCGCATCGTCGGCAGCATATTTGCTTGGTACGTCAGGGAGCTACATATACGCGCGTCCCTACGTATGCACATGTAGATATACACAGTTGTACATAGTCAAAGGAAGTTTAGTTGAAGAACTTTCGGCATGAGAAAAGTTGATTCAGCAGAGTCGCGCAAAGAAAGAGAGAAAGCAATCAAGAAATACAAGGGAACAGGAATTGTGTGGCAGGCGCAGCATATTGCAGGATGGCCAGCTCGCAAAGGCCTGTGTTTAGCGTGCGGTCTCGCCGCAGGTTCGGTAACGCTGAATTGCAAGTTCGTGGCAGGCAGCAAAGTGTTCCCGAGGGCACTGGCATTCGTGACAGACGCAGCACTTTGGGAATGTGAGCGGCTTGCGAGTCGCACTGGAGTGGACGCGTGAACTGTGCAGATCTCGTGGCAGGCGCAGCACTTTCGCAAGATCAAGTGCAGATTTCCTGGCAGGCTCAACACTTTCGCAAGATCAAGTGCGGATTTCGTGACAGACGCAGCACTTTCGCAAGATCAAGTGCAGATTTCGTGACAGACGCAGCACTTTCGCAAGGTCAAGTACAGATTTCGTGGCTGGCGCAGCACTTTCGCAAGGTCAAGTACAAATGTTGTGGCAGGCGCAGCTCTTTGTCGTGGCTGGCGCAGCACTTTCACAAGCTCAAGTACATATTTTGTGGCAGGCGAAGCACTTTCGCAAGGCCAGGTGCAGATAGATAGATAAATAGATAGATAGATAGATACATTGATAGATAGATAGATAGAACAAATAGAGGGAGGGAGAGAGAGAGCGAAAATATAGAGACAAATAAAGAAAGAAGGAAGGAAGGAAATAAAGAAAGAAAGAAACAAAAAAAGAGAGAAACAAGGAAGGAAATAAATAAACAAATTTTCAAAGAAGAGAGAAAGACAGAGAGAGAAAGAAATAAAGATAGATTTCTAGAGAGTGACAGTGACAGTGCAAAGCGCAAGCTCCAGAGATTCGTAGTGCATAGGAAGGTGCGTGGGCATGGCGCGGGGCCTGTTGTTTTCCTCTTCCTATCGGCACACGTCCGCCGTCCAGCTTCGCTATGTATATAGACACATTCACACTCGCACGTTGTATTCTTGACATGGCGAACATAGACAAACACAGAGTGTAAACATATGTATATATATATATAATATGTATCATGTACACACTGCCCGCGTTAGGGGCCTTCATGCCTTCCTCCGGTGCTACAAAAGGAACTGCGGAGGGAGGTGGCACTGAGCGGCAGCCGTTGAGCTTTGTCATCCAAACACTCTGTCAGAAAGCTTGTTTCGGTTTCGGGGCTGCAAGGGGAGGGTCATTAAGAAGGGGGTGCCCTGCTATTAATCAGAGGTGGCCCATGGACATGTTGTGTCTTTCTCCAACCTTTGACTTGTGAATACCCGACATATACACGATTAGTCATGTGATCCGTGTACTCAGTTCTTGATTGGTTGCATTCGGCCGAAACCCCGTCACTCCAATTCCTGCCAAGCCGCGGCATTGGCACTTTGATGCCACTCCTGAGCAAGTCCGACTGTGGCCCGGTTCAGGGAACCAATCAACACCACGGCGGAAGTCGCTTTTCTTGCAGATTCGGCGGCGGCCTCAGATTTTCCCTAAGTTCGGCGGGGCGGTCCCGACCCAGAAATGCCGCAAAGGGTTCACCTTTTCGAAGAAGCTTGTTCCAAATTGAAGGAAAGTCCGCGGCTCACAGTTTTCAATATGCTTGGTCGCAAAAAGCTACAAACTCCGCAGAGGGTTCACCTTGTCGAAGAAGCTTGTTTCCCGAGCGCGGTGAAGTCCGCAAAGCGCTCACTTGTTCGAACAAGCTTGGTTGCAAAGAGGGTTCACCGATTTCGAAGCTTGTTTCCAAAACGCAGCAACGTCGGCAGAGGGTTCACTTTTTCAAAGAGGCTTGAAAAGGCTACCTCGCCAATTAAAAAAAACTTGCTTCCAAAGCCAAAGTGCAGCAAAGTCCGCCGAAGGTTTTTCGAAGAAGTCTGCTTGCAAAAAGCTGCGAAGAAGCTTGTTTCCAAATCCAAAGTGCAGCAGAGTCCGCCGACCGAGCATTTTTTCGAAGAAGCCATGGTTTAGTGTGGATTTGGGCGAGGCGTGGGCTTCTTTCGGGTGGATTTTTGGTGGGTTTAGGTTGGTCAGGTTTAGGGTTGGTTTAGTGCTGGTGTAGGGCGGGCTTAGGGTCTAGGTGGGTTTGTGGTGGGTTTCGGGTTGGTTCACGTTTGGTTTCAGGTGGTTTAGTATTGGTATAGGGTTTGTTTTGGGTTTGTGTGGAATGTTTTTTGGTGGGGATTGTTTCGTCCTTTACGGCGGGTTTACGTTGGGTTTAGGGCTGGTTTAGGACTGGTGTTGGGCTGGTTTGCGGTTGGTTTAGGGCTGTTTAGGGTGTTTAAGGTTGGTTTAGAGTTGGTTTAGGGATGCTTGAGTTGGTTTTGTGGTGGCTTAAGGTTGGTATAGGGGTTGTTTTCGTGCTGGTTTACGGTGGGTTTAGGCCTAGGCCTAGGGCTGGTTTAGGGTTGGTTTAGAGTTAGTTTAGGGATGGTACAATGGTGGTTTAGGGTGGGTTTAGGAACTGGGTAGTGCTTGTTTAGGGTTGGTATAGGTGTGGGTTTAGGGTGGAATTATTTGCGGTTTAAACTGGGCTTAGTGGGGTTTAGGGTTGGCGTAGGGTCATTGGGGCTGATTTGGGGCAAGTTTAGGCAAGTTTAGGGATGCTTCAGTGCTGGTGTAAAGTTTAGGGTTGGTTTAGTGTTTGCTTTTGGTTGTTTGGGGTTGATTTCGAGGTGGCTTAAAATGGGGATGTCGGGCTGGCTTGCGGTGGGTTTCGGATTGGGGTTTGGTTCAGGGTTTGTTTAGGACGGGTGAGTTTGGGTTTGGATCAGGGATTGCTTAGGGTTGGCTTAGGGTTGGTTTAGAGTGGGTGTCAGGTTTCTGTAGGGATTCTTTCGTGCGGGTTTAGTGTGGGTGTGAGGTGGGTTTATTTGCCGTTTTAGCTTGGTTTGGTGGAGTTTAGAGTTGGTTTAGGGTGGTTTAGGGATAGTTAGTGCTGGTTTAGTATGGATTTAGGGTTGGGAAAGGGTTTGCTTGTTGTTTGTTTCGTGCTGGTTTGGGGGGAACGAAGGCTTACGCTGGCTCAGGGATGCTTAAGTTCTGGTTTAATGTGGGTTTAGGGTTGGTTTAGGATTGGTTTCGGGTTGGTTTAGTCAGGGTTGGTACAGGTTTTGCTTAGGAGTTGTTTAGGGATGCTGTTTTGGGTTTCGGGATTGTTTCGTGCTAGTTTAGGGTGGGTTGCAAAAAATATCCTGGCAGGGATGCTAGCTGCGCATGTGGAAAGCCAAAGCTACAACAACCTCCAAAAACCCTTCCAAAAAAAGCCGCGAAAGCACCCACCGACCGCCGACCGACTGACGGACCGGGGACCCTTCCACGACCCAGCCCGCCAAACCTGTAAAAATATGTAGAAAACAAGCTCGGGGCCCAACACCACCCTCCCAACAAGAAAAAGAAAGATTCCCCAATGCTTGGCCTTGATTGACCTCATGTTCACCAAATCAGTGTTCTGCAAGTATACGCAGTGTCAGCACCAAACTACTGGAAAGGCCTCGCCTGTTGCGACAACATAACCCGACCCTGTCTCTGACGGCTGATGCAGAAACGGGTCATCAGCACACGAGGCTGCAAGTACGTGTGACACGCACACATATATTATCTGTTCAGAAGGGCTTCAGTGAGAGAATATACAAGGGTGTCCCTGAATGTTGAGCCAAAAAGGGAAACCAAGAAAATAAACCAAAACCAAAAACCTTTAGGGTGCCTTTTGGCAAAAACACCCACCAAGCATTGACCCTTTGAATAGTGCTCTTGGAGCCTGACCCCAGAACTCATGTCTCGCTAATACTTGCGTGTGCGTCTCTGTGCATTTTTAAGGGGTGCGGTGGGGAAATTAACCGGACAATTTTGAGGAGTCCCCTATTTTGACACATACCCACTTCTACCCAGCCTTGTAGGGACAAAGTCCCTGGAGTGGTTGGCTTGTTGGATAAGTTCGATAGGCACGAAAATTTGATAGCGGCTTCTTTTGAGGGAGTACCCAGGTTCATTCCTGAAACTGGATTTTTTCAGAGGCAGCAAGTAAAGCTGGGCAAACTTGGATCTCCAAGACGGCACACGGCTATGCTTAGCAACTGACATGTTTACTTCCAACCCCCAAGAATACGTTGCCCTTGGTGTCAGGACATGCTAAGGCACTTTGACCATTTTCGGTTTGAATGGCCGAGGCACGTCAACCGCAACTACAGGCGCCTCCTCCGCATTATCAGCTACCTGGGCTCGTGGCTCAAACTAATGGCCACCCGGCCAGGTAGTTGGGACCCAAATAATGGCGGTGATCCTTTGGTTTCCCTGAAGCCACCCCAAACTAGCCCTCAAAACGCACACAGACCCAGTTGATGAATAAATCCCTGCTTCATGTTTGATCGGGTAATGTCCCATTTCAGAGGCGACCCAGAACTCTCTTGGGGGATCTCTTTCCCTTGATGCTCCCCTACACCTTGACATGTGTTTTTGGAAAAGCAACTTGTTCGGGTGCTATGTTGCGTGGTTGTTAAATACATGGGCGCCTAAAATACAGTTGAACCCAGGCTTCGCGTCATGCAAACAAGTCCTATTCTGGGAACGCCAAATGCAAAATGACCCAGTCTGACCGAGGGTCCAACCCTCATTTCCATTTGACATGAACCATGTTCTTGCAAGTGCCTGTTTGTTGTATAATGGGAGCCCGTCGCGCAAGTCCCCTCACCCTCTTTTCGCGACGCGGAAGTGACACCTCGGTAAAGCAACTGGGAATTTGTGCGACCTGCTCTCCGCGTGCCGCGGCGGTTCTATATCAATGACTTCTTTTGGGCCGTGTTTTGCTTAAATTCCATAAACACAGAAATATTGGCGAACCATGACGGGATGCCACTCCTGAAAAGTTCTATGTTGATGAACTACCCTTGCAACCATTTCGAAGCTGTTCAAAATCCTCGCAGCTTCCGTGTTAAACATATGTTCAGTGGCACTTACTTGGCAGCCAATTGGTTGTTTTTTGCATTTTCCAGATTCATGGAACGCATCACCATGCAAATGATTATGGAACCTCAAAGTGCCTTTTTGGAGAGCAAACTCCGGTTAAAACCCTTTGTGGGTTAAGTGCTAATTCCAAAAACAGTTTACTGTTGGGGTTCTTGATTCTTACTAAGAACTGATGCTGTCACGAGATGGTCTGGCCTTGTCTCCCAGCTTGTTTCCTCGGTCAGCTCTTTGTCTCCCCACTTGTTTCCTTTTGTCTCCCCACCTGTTTCCTCGCGCGCTTGCTGGGCTGGATGCTGTCACGAGCTGGTCTGGCTCGGTCAGCTCTTTGTCTCCCCGTTTGTTTTCTTTTGTCTCCCCACTTGGTTCCTCACGCGCTTGCTGGGCTGGATGCTGTCACGAGATGGTCTGGCTCGGTCAGCTCTTTGCCTCCCCGCTTGTTTCCTCACTCGCTTGCTGGGCTGGATGCTGTCACAAGATGGTCTGGCTTGGTCAGCCCTTGATCCCCCGACTTGTTTGCATTTGTCTCCCCCCTTGTTTTCTCACGCGCTTGCTGGGCTGGATGCTGCCCCCCCTTGTTTCCTCACGCGCTTGCTGGGCTGGACGCTGTCACGAGCTGGTCTGGCTCGGTCAGCTCTTTGTCTCCCCACTTGTTTCC